CAAAACTGAAGTCTAAAAGGTGAGAATGGAAAAATTGAAAAACCGAAAATTCTAAAAATCGACAATGGACAAATTGAAAATCGCAAAATTTAAATTGAAAAATTGAACATAGAAAAATCGATGAATTGAAAAATCGAAAATTCGACTACTCAAATTTTCTAAAAATCGAAAAATCATAAAACCGAAATATCCAAAATTCTAATGGTCGAAAGTTTGAAAACTGAAAATCGAAAATTCTGAAAAGCGGAAAATAGAACATCGAAAAATTTAAAAGAAAGAAAATTGAAGTCTAAAAACCGAAGAATGGAAAAATTAAAAATCAAAAATTCGAAAAATCAAAACCGAAAAATTCAAAGATTTAAAAAGGAAAATCGAAAAATCAAAAATCTGAAATTTGAAACTCGAAAATTTGGAAAATCGAAAAAGCAAAAAATTGGAAAAACAAAAATTCGAAAAATCTAAAATCGAAAAAGTGGAAAATCGAAAATCTGAATAAAGAAACTTGGAAATTCTGAAAATTGGAAAATCGAAAACCAAAAAATCGGAAAGTAACAAAATTGAAGTTTAACAGTTGAGAAAGGAAAAATTGAAAAACCGAAAATTCTAAAAATCGACAATGGACAAATTGAAAATCGCAAAATTTAAATTGAAAAATTGAACATAGAAAAATCGATGAATTGAAAAATCGAAAATTCGACTACTCAAATTTTCTAAAAATCGAAAAATCATAAAACTGAAAAATCCAAAATTCTAATGGTCGAAAGTCTGAAAACTGAAAATCGAAAATTCTGAAAAGCGGAAAATAGAATAACGAAAAATTTAAAAGAAAGAAAATTGAAGTCTAAAAACCGAAGAATGGAAAAATTAAAAATCAAAAATTCGAAAAATCAAAACCGAAAAGTTCAAAGATTTAAAAAGAAAATCGAAAAATCAAAAATCTGAAAATTGAAACTCGAAAATTCGGAAAATCGAAAAGTAAAAAAATTGAAGTCTAAAAGCTGAAGAATGGAAAACTGAACAATCGAAAATTCGAAAACCAAATATCGAAAAATCGAAAAGCCGAAAAATCGAAAATTTGATGAATCAGATATGCGAAAAACAGAAAATCTGAAAATACAAAACTGAAAAATCGAAAATCTAAATTTGGAAAAACCGAAAATCGAAAATTCAATGAATATAATACGTAGGTCGATCGAAAAACCGGAAATTCACAAATCTGAAAAATCGGAAATTTGCAAGATTGAAAAACCGAAAATTGAAAAATCAAAAAACCGAAAAATGGAAAATTCATAAATCGAAAAATAGGAAAACAGAAAATTCGAAAATTCATAATATTGAAAACTCTAAAAGTCGACAATTCAAAAATCGAAAAGTAAACAAATTTCAAAGCCTAAAAACTGAAACGAACAGAAAAATCGAAAAAGCAAAAAATTGCAAAAGCAAAAATTCGAAAAATCTAAAATCGCAAAAGTGGAAAATCGAAAACCAAAAAATCGGAAAGAAACAAAATTGAAGTCTAAAAGGTGAGAATGGAAAAATTGAAAAACCGAAAATTCTAAAAATCGACAATGGACAAATTGAAAATCGCAAAATTTAAATTGAAAAATTGAACATAGAAAAATCGATGAATTGAAAAATCGAAAATTCGACTACTCAAATTTTCTAAAAATCGAAAAATCATAAAACCGAAATATCCAAAATTCTAATGGTCGAAAGTCTGAAAACTGAAAATCGAAAATTCTGAAAAGCGGGAAATAGAACATCGAAAAATTTAAAAGAGAAAATTGAAGTCTAAAAACCGAAGAATGGAAAAATTAAAAATCAAAAATTGGAAAAATCAAAACCGAAAAGTTCAAAGATTTAAAAAGGAAAATCGAAAAATCAAAAATCTGAAAATTGAAACTCGAAAATTCGGAAAATCGAAAAGTAAAAAAATTGAAGTTTAAAAGCTGAAGAATGGAAAACTGAACAATCGAAAATTCGAAAATCAAATATCGAAAAATCGAAAAGCCGAAAAATCGAAAATTTGATGAATCAGATATGCGAAAAACAGAAAATCTGAAAATACAAAACTGAAAAATCGAAAATCTAAAAATGGAAAAACCGAAAATCGAAAATTCAATGAATATAATACGTAGGTCGATCGAAAAATCGGAAATTCACAAATATGAAAAATCGGAAATTTGCAAGATTGAAAAACCGAAAATTGAAAAATCAAAAAACCGAAAAATGGAAAATTCAAAAATCGAAAAATAGGAATACAGAAAATTCGAAAATTCATAATATTGAAAACTCTAAAAGTCGACAATTCAAAAATCGAAAAGTAAACAAATTTCAAAGCCTAAAAAGTGACGAACAGAAAAATCGAAAACTCGTAAAATCATAAAGTGGAAAATCGAAAACTGGAAATTGAAAAATCCGAGATTGGAAAATCGAAAATCGAAATATCGAGAATCGACAAATCGAAAAATTAAAAAATCGGAAATCGAAAAATGAAAAAAAAAACGAAAATTCAAAAATCGAATAATCCGAAACTAAAATAATAGAAAAGTGGAAAAGTAAAAATTGCAAAGTCTAAAACTGACGAACAGAAAAATCGAAAAATTAAAAAAAATCGAAAATTCGATTAATCAATATTCTAAAAAACGAAAAAACGGACACAAATCCACAAATCTGAAAAATCGAAAATCGAAATATCGAGCCTCGAAAAATTAAAAAACCGAAAAATTGAAAAATCCCAAATCGAAAAATGAAAAAACCAAAAATTCAAAAAAAAAACTATCGGAAAGTAAAATAATAGAAAAATGGAAAAATAAAACAAATCGCAGATCCATAAAAACTGAAACAAACAGAAAAATCGAAAAATTTAATGATTAATGGAAAATCGAAAAATCGAGAATAGAAGAATTAAAAAACCGGAAAATTGAAAAATCGGAAATCGAAGAATTAAAAACGTAAAATCGAAAATTCAAAAATCAAAAAAATCGGAAAGTAAAATATAATCGAAAAATGCAAAAAAATTGCAGCAAAGTCTAAAAACTGACCAACAGAAAAATCAACAAATCGAAAAACGGAAACACCGAAAACTCGAAAATTCAAAATACCGCAAATTTGAAAAATCAGAAAATGGGAAAGTAAAAAAATCGAAAAGTTGATACAAAAATGGAAACTGAAAAATCTAATTAGATGAAACGGTTGGTCGAAAAAACGAAAAATCGAAAATCGAAGTGATCTCTTTTTGAGACAGCCTGTATAAGTAAATCTTAAAAATATTACTGCAATAACGGATATAATAAAGCGTCAACCATGATTGATAAACTTTAATCCAAAATTATGAAGTTTATAAACTGAACATTTTTTTTGTTTTTTGAAATGTCTTTGTCACTTCAAAAAATATCCGTGACTTAATTTAATGTGAATTTTATAACTATGGTTGGCACAATTAGACCTAATATTAGTGTGATTTTGAGCATATTCTCGATTTTATTAAAGTCACAGATATTGCAAAAAAAATTGGGCTCAGGTTCCAACTAATTGACAAGATTACAAAGTATTCAGTTTTACAATTCTTGATTTCTTCAATAAAATAAATTTACTCAGTCATTATTTTTTTTGAGTCACCCTGTATGTATAAACAAATCCAAAAAATATAAATGGAATGGTAAATCACAAGTACAGACTCATCATATTCTGAACATTTTAGATAGGGTATTTATAAAATTAAATCAGAGTAAGAATTTGGTCAACACGTAAAACATTTGCGAACGAATCACGTGTGGGAGAGTTTGGAAAACTGGCGATTATTTTTCTCCCATGGGTACGTTAACGCCGACATTTAACCGTCGTACCGGTCGTACCGTGAATGCCACTCGGCCATGAACTACCAAAAACGCACTTGTCATTGATCTTTATTTGCTCTAGGAGAGTAAACAAGTGATCGCTTTTTCTCCTCACATGGCTAAAAAAAATCGAATTTGTTGCGTTTTTAAGGCAAGAATGTAGAAACAAGAACACGGTACTTTCTAATAGCAGGTTTATTAACTATTAAGGAACAATCGTATGCAATCTTTAAATGTCAGACTCTTACAGCAAAATACCACGGTTATAAGATAATAAGGATAAAAATTTAGTCTTTTATAATGAGGTTTCTTAAGAGTACTCCGGGCTGAAATCGTAGTTTTCTCTTTTAAACTCGATTAGTTTTTTGCGATTCGAAAAAATAAAATACTCTCGATTTCGATCCAAATCTCACAATTTAGAATGTATCAATATGGAGCTCGACCTTGCGTGCCGTTATTTCAATTTCAAGGCTAAAAATTACTTAATTGTGTCTACTAAGTCACAAAAAAAAAATAAGTTCCTACATGTTTTAAAAGTCAATTATAATTTGCTGTAATGATATCATTTCGTGGCTAAATTAGACGTAAGGTGGCAAAAAATTTAGAGAATTCAGCATACGGAACCGTAGCTACACGAAAATAGTTGCCGAGACAATTTTTGGAACTACAGCAAATTTTGCAAAAGTAGCAAATACTACTTTCACCGGAAACTTGATGCAATTATGTTAATATTCGCATTTTTTATAACTTGGGCCACTTTTGCGGAAACACCTGCATACATTAAAGTCGATAGAATTAAATACCACACTATAGTTTGATAGCTGGTTTAACCTTTCGAGCTCTTTTTTGCGCAAGATCGACTGCGTCAGAGATCGTGCGATGGTTCAAAACTAACGAAAAACCTAAAGCTCTTTAGATTTTTTGTATTTATTTATCACCAAAGCGAAAGTCCTGCTCACACTCCAATTTCCTTTTCCAGCAAAAACGCGCCTTCTGATTGTTTTTGATCCCAACCACACGCCGCGCCATGAATAATTCACGAACACCCAACGTCGCATTCCTCCAACTCCAGCCCCAAAACGCGACCTCATCTACTTTTAAACCCCATCTACAATTGTATTCAAATTTGCCACTTACACAAGCATAAATCAGTGGACCTACCTTGGAATCCCACGAGCTTTTCCTGTGATGATGGCTCTTTTTCTCCATTGTGACAGTCATGGTTGCACGTCACGTAAACCACATGGGCCCCAAATCGCACTGTTTGAACGTTTTTGTCACGTCGGCTTTGCGTAACTGTAGCACCGTTTGCAGTTAAAAGGTGTTTCTTCACCACATTCTTTTTCTTTAATTGGGATGATTAATGGGCGCTTGTTTTCACATCATGGGTTTCACTGCAGTTTTTCTTCGGAAGTGATGATGACTTTCTCCTGGAAGAGGATTGAATTATTAATGGGGCTTGTGGATGGAGAAGAGATTATTGTCATCGGAGATGGCTTTCTAGTTAGCGTTATCGTGGAAGATTGAATTTTTTTGGCGTGAAAACAATAAAGAGTTTGAGTGCTCGTGTGAACACGGGTCATTAGGGATCGAGGACGAGGCGTGATTTTTACGAAGATGGATTATGAAAAGATTTTTTCAAATATCGGTTGAAAATAGCTCATTGTTGGCATACTTTCTTCGGTACTTAAGAGCGATTAACTCTCTCCTATTGCAGCCAAAAAAGCAAAACTGGTCTGTGCGTTGAGGAAGTGCGGAGGATGCAATTAATCTTTTTGTTTAAAAATTGCGAGCTAAAACCAGTCGTATGTGCTTGAACAAGCAATCAAAGCATAAGTAGCACAAAAACTTGAATAAACAAGTAATTGACGTTAAATGGCGAATAAAAATACGACGTTACGTAAAAAAGATGGAACGATAAGTGGAAAAATATGCGGAAGAAAATGCAACAGCACAAAAAAATGTTTCAAATAGTTTTAAAATATTTGCACGATTTCATAGCATTCGGTTTTTGCAATGTCAAAGTTAAATCGTAAAATGTTACACAATTTTGATTTTTTCTCCAAAAATCATATAAAACTAAACAAAGGGACAAATTAGTAGTAAGTAAAATGGTACATTTCACCCCACATTTTTTTTTAATTTATTATAAGGTGATTTATCATTTTTAACAAGCCAGTTTTGACGATACAGTGTTTTTTTAAATTTTTTTTTTAATTCTCAAAATCAGCGGATTATACCGGGTGTCTGGAAAATGGCGGATTAACTCCTCACTACGCTCTTAACATTCAATTGGTGAGTTTGGGAAAAATAGTAACAAAAAATCCTTCTCACATTTTGGTGGAGTTATAAAGATTTTGAAATTGGTCCTTTTGCTACGTTTAACAATTAAACAACACATTCATTATCACAATAACTAGTAATAAAACTTGTCTTAGTAAGTACTAGCCCCGCCCACCCACCCTCTCTTTTCTTAGAGGATATGTGATTTGCCAAAATCACTCTTATCTTAGCAGAATCTAGCCCCGCCCACCCACCCTCTCCTTTCTTAGAAAGTATCTCATTTGCCAAAATCAGTTTTATCTCGATTTCTCGACATTTCGATTCCTCGATTCTCGGTTTTCCAATTTTTTTCAGTTTTTTCGAATTTTTGACTTTGGGATTTTTTTGAATTATTGATTTCTCGAGATATCGTTTTTTATTGATTTTTCGATTTCTCAACACAATTTCGATTTAAATTTTTCAGTTTTTCGATTTTTGAATTTTTCGATTTCCCGATTCTTCGATTTTTTATTTCTAGATTTTTCAGTTTTGCGATATTTCGATCTTTGAATTTTCAAATTTTCAATTAGAATTCCATGACTTTTTCATTTCTCGAGATACCGATTTACCGACTTCTCGAATTTTCAATTTTTAGATTGTTCCTTTTTTTTGATTCCTCGATTTCCCGATTTTCTCAGTTATTCGACTTTTCGATGTTGGGACTTTTTTGAATTATTGATTTGCGATTTTTCGTTTCGTTGATTTCGCGATTTTTCGATTTCTTAAATTTTAAAGTTTTGGATTAGGATTTTTTGAATTTTTTATTTCTCCAGACATCGATTCATCGAGTTTTCGGTTTCTCCGTTTTTCAAATGTCAATTTTACGATTTCTCGATTTTTTCCAGTTTTTCGACTTTTCGATTTTAGGGTTTCTTGAATTTTCGATTCCTCGATTTTTCGACTTTCATTTTTTCGATTTTTCAATACATATTTCGACTTAAGTTTTTCAGTTTTTCGATTGTTCATTTTTTGGATTTTCTCATTCTTTGATGTTTTATTTCTCGGTTTTTCGATTGTTTGAATTTTAAAATTTTTGTTTTTTCGATTGTCCGATTTCGTAGTATTTCGAATTTTCGAATTTAAATTTCCTTGACTTTTTGATGTCTCGAAATACCGATTTATCGATTTCTCGGTTTCTCACTTCAATTTTCAATTTCACAATTTCTGGATTTTTCAATTTTTAGATTGTTCGATTTCTCGACTTTTCGATTTTTCGATTCCTCGAGTTCTCGATTTTCCGATTTTTTCAGGTTTTCGAATTTTAGATTTTAGGATTTTTTGAATTTTTGATTTCTCGAGGTATCGTTTTTTATCGACTTTTCAGTTTTTCGAATTATGAATTTTTCAATTTCCCGATTCTTCGATTTTTTATTTGTAGATTTTTTTGTTTTTTGAATTTTCGAATTTTCGATTTCCAAATTTTTCAGTTTTGCGATTTTTCGTTTTCTCGTTGCTTTGATTTATTTCGATTTCTTGAATTTTTGATTTCTCCAGACATCGATTTATCGAGTTTCCGGTTTCTCCGTTCTTCAAACGTCAATTTTACGATTTTTGGATTTTTCTGTATTTTGTTAATTTTTCGAAATTCTCGACTTTTCGAATTCTCAATTTTTTAGTTTTGTGGTTTTTTAAATTTCTCGATTCTTTCATTTTTTATTTCTCGTTTTTTCGATTTTAATTTTTTGGATTTTAAAATTTTCGATTTTTCGATTTCTCTACTTTTGATTTTTCGATTCCTGGAGTTCCCAATTTTTACATTTTTTTCAGTTTTTCGACTCTTCGATTTTAGGATTTCTTGAATTTTCGATTCCTGGATTTTCAATTTCTCGACTTTTAGTTTTTTGGATTTCGATTTTTTGACTTTAATTTTTTTCGATTTCTTATTTCTCGGTTTTTCGATTGTTTGAATTTTAAAATTTTTGATTTTTCGATTGTCCGATTTCATAGTATTTCGAATTTTATTTTCAATTTATCGACTTCTCGGTTTTGCACTTTTCAATTTTCAATTTCACAATTTCTTGATTTTTCAATTTTTAGATTCCTCGAGCTCTCGAATTTCCGATTTTTTCAGGTTTTCGAATTTTAGATTTTAGAATTTTTTTGGATTTTTGAGTTCTCGAAGTGTCGTTTTTTATCGACTTTTCGGTTTTTCGATTTTTAAATTTTTCAATTTCGCGATTCTTCGATTTCTCAATTTTTCAGTTTTGCGATTTTTCGATTTTTGAATTTTCAGATTTTCGATTAGAATTTCTTGACTTTTTGATTTCTCGAGATACCGATTTATAGACTTTCGGTTTTCCATTTTTCAATTCTCAATCTTACGATTTCTCGAATTTTCAATTTTTAGATTGTTCGATTTTTTGATTCATTGATTTCCCGATTTTCGCAGTTTTTCGACTTTACGATGTTAGGATTTTTTGGGATTTTTGTTTTCTCGAGATATCGGTTTATCGACTTTTCGGTTCCCCGCTTTGCAATTTTCAATTTTTAGATTTTTTGAATTTTTGACTTCTCAATTTTTCAATTTTTCAGTTTTGCGATTTTTCGTTTTCTCGTTTCTTTGATTTATTTCCAGATTTTTCGATTTCTCGAACTTTTGGATTAGGATTTTTTGAGTTTTTGATTTCTCGAGACATCGATTCACCGAGTTTTGGGTTTTCACGTTTTTCAAATGTCAATTTTACGATTTCTGGATTTTTCTATATTTCTATATTTCGAATTTCTTGACTTTTTGATTTCTCGAGATACAGATTTATCGACTTCTCGGTTTTCCATTTTTCAATTTTCAATTTTACGATTTCTCGAATTTTCAATTTTTAAGTTGTTCGATTTCGACTTTTCGATTTTTTATTCCTCGATTTCCCGATTTTCTGTTTTTTGACTCTTCGATGTTAGGATTTTTTTGAATTTTTGATTTCTCGAGATATCGATTTATCGACTTTTCGGTTTTCAATTTTTAGATTTTTTGAATTTTTGACTTCTCGATTTTTCAATTTTTCAGTTTTGCAATTTTTCGTTTCCTCGTTTCTTTGATTTATTTCAGGATTTTTGGATTTCCTTAATTTTAAAATTTTCGATTAGGATTGCGATTTTTCGATTTCTTTAATTTTAAAAATTTTGGATTATAATTTTTTGAATTTTTGAAATCTCGAGACATCGATTCATCGAATTTTCGGTTTTTCCGTTTTTCAAATGTCAATTTTACGATTTCTGGATTTTTTTATATTTCGAATTTGTTAATTTTTTAAAATTTTCGACTTTTCGAATTCTCGATTTATTAGTTTTGTGGTTTGTTGGATTTCTTGATTCTTCCATTTTTTATTTCTCGGCTTTTCGATTTTAATTTTTTGGATTTTAAAATTTTCGATTTTTCGATTTCTCGATTTTTTTGACTTTTCGATTTTAGGTTTTCTTAAATTTTAGCGTCCTCGATTTTTCAACTTCTCTACTTTTAGTTTTTTTCGACTTTTCAATATATATTACGATTGAAGTTTTTCACTTTTTCGATCGTTCAATTTTTGGATTTCCTCATTTTTTGATTTTTTATTTCTTGGTTTTTCGATTGTTTGAATTTTAAAATTTTTGATTTATTGTCCGATTTCGTAATATTTCGAATTTTCGAATTTAAATTTTCTTGCCTTTTTGATGTCTGTAAATACCGATTTATCGACTTCTCGGTTCTTCATTTTTCAATTTTCAATTTCACAATTTCTCGATTTTTCAATTTTTAGATTGTTCGATTTCTCGACTCGATTTCCGACTTTTTCAGGTTTTCGAATTTTAGATTTTAGGATTTTTTGAATTTTTGATTTCTCAAGGTATTGTTTTTTATCGACTTTTCGGTTTTTCGATTTCTGGATTTCTCAATACATATTTCGATTTAAATTTTTCAGTTTTTCGATTTTTGAATTTTTCAATTTCCCGATTCTTCGATTTTTTATTCTAGATTTTTCAGTTTTGCGATTTTTCGTTTTTTCGTTTCTTTGATTTATTTCGATTTCTTGAATTTTAAAATTTTGGATTAGGATTTCTTGAATTTTTTATTTCTCCAGACATCGATTCATCGAGTTTTCGGTTTCTTCGTTTTTCAAACGTCAATTTTAGGATT